CATGAACGCCAATTAACCCTAAGAAATATTCATGCTACGGCCTAAAAATGATTCATACAAGGAATTTGATAACGAAAAAATATTCCTGCGGCTCGAAAATTCCCCTCCCCTCCCCCATAACTTTTCTAATGGTCCGTCCCTTAGGAAACTCATATTATTTACTGAGCTTTACTAGCCTTCGAGAGCATCCGGTTTTTTTGGCTTTGGACTACGGTTCGCAGGCTAATTATTTACCACTTTCAATTCAATATTTGTCTGAATCTTAGTCCGTTTTCTTTCCAGCACTTTCTTTGTATAAAACACACCATACGACTCAAAAAAGTTATGTCAAGTAAATCTAATTTCAAAATATATATATATTAGCATATCCTTCGCAGACCTTAGCATTGTTGACGTTTGTGGAAACGGCCGTTTGACCTTTCAGAGCTGGTTCATTGCGATCGCCCTTTATCTAACTTTCTAACTAGTCAAGTTATACCAGAGCAATAAAAGACTCAATCAATCTTTCGATTTTGCAAGTAAAAACTATTTTCCTGATCACCACGAAAAAAATGTGAATTCAAGACAATTGTTTGTAGTTTGTGTTACCCCCGGTTGCGTGACGGTTTTAACGTGCATTTTATCATAAACATCGAAAATGAACTGCGCGTTTACCTCTCTCAGCGCGTTGCTTTTTAATTGCCCGGCTGGATTTTTTATATGTTGTACTAAAACAGTAGGACTTTACAGAGGTATAATGAGTCTTCCTAAATTTTGTAATTTATTAGGTTCCAGGCTCCTTGTATTTTGCACTTGCGCAGTACACTAAAAATGGAGGACTAGCACATGGTTCGTTTCGTGCTGTAATTTCATGACTTAAATATTACATTTGGCGACGAGGATGGCTCTCGTGGGGCAAGTAGGAGAATATATCGACGGAAAAGAAGATATTGGCAGTTATATAGAACGAGTGGAATTGTATTTTGCGGCGAATTACGTCGAAGCGGATTACGAAGTTGCTACGTTTCTAGCGTTAACTGGGGCAGGATGCGTGCGAAGGAATTTGTTAGCCCCTGAACGTCCGAAAGATAAGTCCTTCGATGAGTTGAAAGAGCTTTTGGTTTCACATTACTCGCCTAAACCTATTTTGATCGCAGAACGTTATAAATTTCATCGTCGGAACCAGCATGAGAGTGAAACGGTCGCACAGCTTGTAGTTGAGTTGAAGCGACTGGCGTTGAAGTTGGAACCTTTTTGGAAGAAGCGTTACGGGACCGTCTCGTTTGTGGATTGAAAAGCGTGCAAATTCAGAAAAAGCTGTTGGCAGAGAGAGACTTGACTCTTAAGAAAGCGTTTGAAACAGCACAATCCATGGAGTTAGCCAACAAAGAAGATTTTCGAGACACCAGTGTACCAGTGGACGATACCGTCAATAAGGTCGGCAGGTATGCCAGTTCAGGGCATTCGACTGGAGACGCCGTGAGTTGTTTTCCTTGTGGTGGTAAGCATTCTCCATCATGATGCTAGGCCAGGTCGGTACAATGTTACAAGTGTCACAATAAGGGTGACCTTGCTAAGATGTGCGATAAGAAAGGGAAGATACAATCCATGCGTTATTTGGAGGTTGATTCACCTATGAGTACTACCGAAGAGCAGTCTGGACTGGGATTGTACACTCTCAAGTCTAAAGGACAAGGTGGATCTGGGTTTCAAGTTCAATTATTGTTAGAGGGTAAGCCAGTCAGCATGGAAGTTGACACGGGATCAGCGGTGTCCATTGTCTCTAAGGTGGAGTATAAGAAGTGGTTTAAGCATCTCAAGTTGCAGCCAGCGTAGTTCCACTTGAAAACCTATTCTGGTGAGTTATTATCCTTGTTGGGGGAAATTCGAGTCGCTGTGAAGTATCAGACCCAGGAAATGCAACTACCTCTGGTGGTCGCTCAAGGAAAAAATCCTGTGCTGCTTGGGCGTAACTGGCTTGAGAAATTGAACCTGGATTGGTTCACCATCTTCAAGGTGTCTCATGTGCCTGCTGTGGAGGATATGCTTGCTAAGTATGAAGCCCTGTTTGAAAAGGGCTATGGACACATGAACTATATAAAGCCTCCATTCAGGTCCTTGAAGGTGCACAGCCCCAATTTCTGAAAGCAAGACCCGTTCCATATACTCTCAAAGAAAAGGTGGAGCAGGAGCTTCAGAGACTGGAGGATGAAGGGATTATCTACAAAGTAAGTCAAAGTGACTGGGCTGCACCAGTGGTGTTGGTCCCCTAGAAAGATGGTTCACTGAGAATGTGCGGCGACTACAAGATGACAGTGAAACAATGTGCCGATGTTGACCAGTACCCTTTGCCTAATACAGAAAATTTTTTTGCGACGTTAGCTGGGGGACAAGTATTTAGCAAGATTGACTTATCTCACGCCTATCAGCAGGTAGAGCTGGATGAAGACTCGCAGAAGTACCTAACAATTAACACACACAAGGGTTTGTACCGTTACAAACGACCTGCCGTTTGGAGTCTCCAGTGCACCAGCTATTTTTCAAAGGATTATGGATCAGCTTCTGCAGGGGGTTAAGTTCACAGTTTGCCATTTGGATGAAATCCTGATTTCAGGGGGTTCCCCTCTGGAACATTTGGCAATCCTGGAAGAAGTTTTCGGGCGCTTACAAGAACATGGCATCAGGTTGAATCCGGCGAAGTGCATTTTTTTCCAGTCGGGCCTCTCGGACACTAGATTGACAAGAATGGCATTAGTCCCCTCCCTCAGAAGATGGGTGCAGTCATGCAAGCCAAGAGTCCTACCAATTTCACAGAGTTGAAGTCGTATCTGGGACTGCTTAACTATTATGGCAAGTTCCTGCCCAATTTGGCGACTACACTGCATCCTCTTCATGACCTTTTGCAAAAGGATAGACCTTGGAAGTGGACGGAGGCGTGCGAGAGAGTGTTTGTTAAGAGTAAGAAGCAGTTACAAGATTTCCTTTGCTGGTCCATTATGATCTGAAGAGTCACTTCGGCTGGCCTATGATGCATCACCCTATGGGGTAGGAGCGGTTGTCTCCCGTGTTATGAAGAACGGCGAGGAAAAGCCTTTTGCATCTCACACTCTTACAGCTAGTGAGCGTAACTATTCCCAAATAGAGAAAGAGGCCTTATCCATCGTGTTGGGACTGAAAAGGTTCCATTCGTATCTGTATGGTCGGAGGTTTACATTGCTTACAGATCATCAGCCGCTGGTCACAATTCTTGAGCCGAAGACTGGTGTACCTCCGCTGGCCGCAGCAAGAATGCAAAGGTGGTCTTTGATGTTAGCAGCTTATCAGTATGAAACTGAGTATAGGAAGTCTGCTGAACATGCAAATGCAGATGCTTTGCCAAGACTGGTACAGGCATCTTTAGAAGAGCAAGGGGAGGAGGAAGAGGTGTATTTGGTCAGTTACCTGGAAGAACTTCCAGTTACAGCCCGCGACATTGCGGCTGCAACTAGAAAAGACCCGGTTTTAGCTAGTGTGTACGACTTCACTTTGCATGGATGGCCCCAAGCGCTCGATGAACCAGTGTTGCAGCCTTTCTTTTCACGAAAGCAAGAACTTTCCGTTGACCGAGGCTGTGTGTTGTGGGTTTACGTTTGGTTATTCTTGAGAAGTATCGTGTTCGCCTGTTGGATGACTTGCACCAAGAGCATCACGGAATCTGCCGGATGAAGTCGCTGGCGAGGGGTTATTTTTGGTGGCCGGGATTGGATACTGCTATTGTTGAGAGGGTTCAGCAGTGCCATGTTTGTGCTGCCTTGGACAATTCTCCTCCAAGGGCACTATTATACCCTTGGAAGTGGCCTGCTAAGCCATGGCAGCGTATCCACATTGATTTCTTTGAGAATGGCAAGTTGAATTTCTTGATTGTTGTTGATGCCTATTCCAAGTGGTTGGAAGTGATTCCCATGGTTTCCATAACCAGCTTGAAAACCATCGAGGTTTTGCGCTCGTTGTTTGCGCGCTACGGAATACCGGAAGAGGTGGTTTCGGACAACGGGCCGCAGCTAGCATCGGAAGAGTTCTCTCAATTCTTGAAGCAGAATGGAGTCAAGTTTACCCGGGTTCCATCGTACCATCCTGCTTCTAATGGAGCTGCTGAACGTTCTGTACAGACCGCCAAGACGTTTTTGACCAAGCAAGTGCTGGAAGGCAAAGCAAATTGACTCAGTCTGGAGCATAGGCTGGCCAACTTTCTTATTTTGAATCGTAGCACACCTCACACTGTCACTGGGCTGTCTCCCGCTGAGCTGTTTTTTGGAAGGCAGATTAGGAACTGTTTCACATTGCCGTAACCGACCCTTAACAGAGCCGTGGAGGAGCAACAGTTGAAGCAGAAAGAGCACCACGATGAAGGACGAGTGAAACTCCGAGAGTTCAAGTTGAATGAAGTGGTCTTGGTTCGTAATTAGCGACGTGGCGTTGAAAGGTGGATCCCTGGAAGAATCACTCAGGTGAAAGGTCCGCGCACTTACCTAGTTCGCTGTGAGCATCAAATACGATTTTGTTCATGTGGGTCATTTGAAGAGTGCTCGCTTGATCCAGTCTTCAAGCTTTGCGAGGGAGAGGAAGATAGTAATTACGCACGAAACTTCCTAAGTTCCCAAGCCGAAGTGAAGAGTACAGTGTGGAGTCTTTCTGAACCACCGGTTAATACATCCGAGGCAGGAGGAGTTCTGGATGCAGGTGACGTAGAGCAACAGGACACAGCTGAGGTGACACCAGAATAATCATTGGGAGATGCTTCGGAGGGAACAAGTCCCTCAGGGACACCATTGTCACCGCACCCAGCACTGAGGTACCCAAGTCGGGAGAGGAGACCACTACGCAGACTCATATGTGAAATGTGAACATTGTTTAAGTAGATGACGAACGCTGAACATTGTTTATCTGTTAGACGTGCATTTTCTTGTTACTGTTGCTATGCTAACCAACCCATTTATTCGGGAGGAGTGTAATATATTAGGTTCCAGGCTCCTTGTATTTTGCACTTGCGCAGTACATTAAAAATGGAGGACTAGCACATGGTTCGTTTCGTGCTGTAGTTTCATGACTTAAATATTACAAATTTCATGTACCAAGCCGTGATTTTTTCCCTTAAAGTTTCGCAAAATTTCATTGTTTATGAAAGTGCTGAAGATAGGAATCTTCGGGCGTTTTTAACCAAGTAAAAATGTATTATCTTGCAATATTTTTACCAAATAGTATTGTAACTGGGATACCTTACTTACCTGCCAAAGTTGAACTTGTTTCCTTCAACCGCCTTTCTTCCCGAGGGCTTTGAAAATGGTAAAATTCAAAGGTTTTAGACCGGCGACTATAAAACGAGGAGCAGCATTTCACTTTTTGGCGGTTTTCTAGAAAAACAAAATTCTTTGGAAACTTTGATTGTCATTGTCGAAAATGTTTCACCAAAGGGTTTTTCCTGACTGAAAATGAAGTATTTCGAAATTTCAGTTTTGACGGCAAATTCTCGATAATTACAGACAGCCACTATTAAGCGCCCTATTTTACCCCTAACCAACGGAGAGGTAGACACTCTTGGCTACTAGGATATCTCTTTTTTTTGGGGGGGGGGGGAGGGGGGGGTGGACGGTTTTAAGCTGTGGGATGGGTTTGGGGGGTGGGATAAATTGACTATTGTGTACAGATTTTTATTTAAGGACAGAAACAGCTNGCTCCTGAAAAGAGCACAGTATCTAGTCTGGATAGAGGCAATTTTCCTTGCTATCGTCAATATAATGGCCATCTCCGGAAACATTTCTGTTTGCTACGCCGTGTATAGAAACCAGAGACTTCGTTCGCTTTCCAATATGTTTATTGTAGCGCTAGCTGTCAGTGATTTACTAATATCTGTCAGCTGTATGCCTCTGTCAGTTGCTACTCTCGTTCAAGGCCGATGGATTTTCGGGACCAGTGTTTGTCGACTCCAGGGTGCTGCGATGTTTACGTTTTCATTAGCGTCTCTAAATACCATGGGGGTTATTGGAGTTAGCCGATATTTTTGCGTGGTGAAACCAACGAGGTACATTATATTATTCCAAAGGCAAAGAATTTTGATGTACACTGCGGTAGTATGGTGTATGGCTCTCATTGGTTCGGTGCCTCCGCTAATTTTTCAGACAGGCGGATACACTTTCCAACCAGGAAAAGCAATGTGCATGTACCCATTCCAAAGTAACATTGCTTATACCGTCTTCATCGAATGTGTGTTTGTCGCTGCGCCCTTTACACTCATCACTTTCTGCTACGCCAAAGTGTTCTACACAGTGTCAAGATCAAATCGTGTTTTCATGCAAGAAAATAACCCTGAACAGCTCAGAGCAAACGTCGAAGAAGCAAAAGTGACCAAGACATTAGCCTTGGTCATGGCCAGTTTCTCCTTATGTTGGCTTCCTATCTGCATTATGGATTACATCGACGCAGCACGCGGGGAGCCCACTTTGCCACGACGGGTATATCTTACTTACGGGTTTCTTGCCTACCTAAGTAGTACAATCAACCCCTTTATATATGGCGCTACCAATAGGCGCTTCAGACAAGAATACAAAACCATTTTGAAAAAGATAAGTTTGATCATTACTTGTGGTCGTTGCAGCTGAAGACAGAATCGAACGTCCGATAATCCAACAAATTTAGCGGTGACCGAGCTTTAAACTATGTAAAAACAAATGTGGAAAACAGGATGTCAATGTTAGACAAGTTCAAGGCCTTTTGAGGTGATACAATGAAGACCTAACAAGTTTAAAACGAAGAGTAGACGAAAGTGCTTTGGAAAAAGAAATAGTTTTACTACTAATAATAATTAACAATTATTCCTCGAGCCCGAATGGACTCTGAGTCAATAGCCCAAACGAAGGCCGAATGGGCTATTGACTCAGGGGCTATAAGGGCGAGAGGAATAATTGTTTTAGTAAAATCCAACTGGTTGGTCGAAAATATCGAGAATAGAAAAAAATTTAGCTACTTAAAGCTAGACTTTAATCCATTTTTGCTGCCAAAAAGCCGGCGCTTTTCGCTACTAGTGGGCTATAACATATAGCCTAGTAGTAGCTCAACCAATCAGAACGCAGCATTGATAATAGACCACTAGTTGGATTTTACTAATAATA